CATATCCCATTCTGCAAGTCAAATTCTTGACTGTTTTTTCACTACTGTTGATCCAGCTGTAAATTACTTTAAAATAGCACTTAAAATGTGTAATTTTCCATACCATATATGGTTTAAAATAGCACTTAAAATGTGTAATTTTCCATACCATATATGCTTTAAAATAGCACTTAAAATGTGTAATTTTCCATACCAGCCATAAGAGAAACTTTGTGCTGAGAAGGCCCTATAAAGATATGTCTATGTTTGCATATATAGATTTTGTTTTCTTTCAGATGAAGTTATCTCTTAATTTCAAAACTTAATGGAAAGATTTTTGGATTTATGATGATCAGGTGTACAACTGTCAGTCCTCTGCTACAGGTACAGTGCAAGGACTCAAACTGTTTAAGCCCTAAATTAAAGTTTACTTTCCATTTAGCTGTCATTTTCCTCCTCCCTCTTTAATCTTATCTTTAAAATGACAGTTTAAATATTTGCTTAGCAGTGCCGTGTTTATCCTGTTCAGATAATCTGCTTATCTGAGAAGGAGAAAGCTGAGATGACCAAGAAATCTGTGAGGAGCAGGAGGCCTCCAGGAGAGCTGGACTTTGGACAAGGACTGTGGACAAGGGGGAACAGTTTTAAGCTGAAAGATGGTAGATTTAAATTGATTTTAGTAAGAAATCCCTCCCTGTGAGGGTGGGCAGGCCCTGGCACAGGTGCCCAGAGCAGCTGGGGCTGCCCCTGGATCCCTGGCAGTGCCCAAGGCCAGGCTGGACAGGGCTTGGAACATCCTGGGACAGTGGAAGGTGTCCCTGCCCATGGCATCATCGCACAAGATGATCTCCTGTGGGAAATGAATTTGTAGAGTGCGCGGGGGCGTGAACGGCCCTGGAATCCGGCTATCTGGTGAGGGGCGAAGGCCAGGGCCCCTGTGCATCAGAAAGCAGCCCCCCTCGGCGTCTTGGCCTCGGGCTGAGCTGGGGGATAGCTCGGAGCAGCGCGGTGAGAGACGAATCAGGAGGCGACCACTTGCTGGGGGTAAATTGTCGGTTTATTACAGAAGAACCAACAAGGAGGGGAAACACCCAGCAAATGGCCCCGAACAGGGGGCAGGAGAGGGTTTTAAGGGAAAAGGGGGGAAGAAGGCAGGGAAACCCGGCTATCCAATAGAAATACATATTTGGAGGTACAAAACATAACTGATATACTAAAGTAACCAACTGTTATAAATCATAGGAGGGGCTCCGGGGCTACAGCCAACCATAACTCCCAGAGAAAAGAAAATTCTTGAAACCTGGGAGGAGAAAAAGAGTGATTGACTGACCCCAAGGAGGAAACAACTTTCACTTTATAAGAGAAACCAAGGGAGGAGCAGTTTCATTTCCATAGCAACCTAACCGGCAGGGTAGCAGCCGGAAGTAATACAGAAAATGGGGGGAGCAAACTAACGAACTTAAGAACACACCACAGCAGTAGAGAATTCTCAAAGCCTGACAGAAGGCTCACATGGAATAGCACAGACATTGCTGAGAGAGAAATGGAACTACTTTCAATGGACTGCCTTGCAAATGAGACTGGATACTTTGGAGAAATAGAACTATGAAAGGTGCATTGTAGTAGGACCCATGAGGGATAATTTTAGATAATTTGCTTTAAAGCATTTACAGCTTTATATGCTTTATAATATATTGTATATATGCTTTATAATATATTGTAATGGTTGGCTTCCAATTGTGATAGTGTGATTTATAACATCTGTATTGTCTCACCCTTCACATGAGACTGAAAATGGAATAAAAGCTTTTAAAACACCTCTCAGTTGCCCCATCTCTGGGTCAGAAAAGGCATAATCCAACAGTCTCCCTGGTCTCTTCCAACCCAAACTATTCTGGGGTTCTAGTTTATGTTTTTCAGCTGGCCAGAGCTGAGGAGGGAGAAGAAGAAAGAGAAGCACAAGAGCTCAGCTCCCTAAGGAAGGTTTAGAGGGTGAAGAAAACCATCCCAATGAGGTTCAGAGTGGACCCCCTTGCTTTCTAACCTCCACACAAAGCCTGGATTCAGCTAGGTCTAATCTTTGCCTCGGATTATGACAATTGTTCATGTTTAATGGAATTATCTAGACAAAATTTGTAACAGTTAGTACTGAACAGCTACATGGAATTTTTATCAATTCAGCATTCCATCAGTCACTTACTGAGGATCTTTTGGAACTAAGAAATCTCTCCTGGGCATGGAAGGACCTCTTAATTTCAGGTGAAGGATCTGAAACCTTGAGTGGTGCTCCAGTTCAAGGGGAGTCACTGCTATGCAGCCCAGCTGCCACTCAGGGACAGCTCAAATTTGGCTTATCCTGGTGGCAATATTCATTGGAGTGAAGTAGTTGGCTGCTAGTCAGTAGTTTAGAGAAGATAGATGTCTTTGTTTTAGCTCTGTTATCTCCTTCTGTACTTTAGTTATTTTCCACTTTGGGGCTTTGAAACCACCTTTAAAAATATTTTTGCTTCACTTCCTTGTACCTGAGCCAGGAGCATTCCAGCTCTCAAATCCACCACAGGGCGTGGGGCCCTTTGCTCCACAGCTGGTCTGATCCAAAGTACAGCTGAGGGTCAGGTGTATCCATGAGAGGCACCATAATATTTATAAAATTGCCTTGGGGCCTCTTGCCATCTCTCTCTCTATCACTGGTTATGTTCCTGTATTTCCAATGTTTTTTTTTTTATAGACAGGAGAGTTTTCTTCTAATGACAAAATTCAGTGTCAGCACATGACTGGTTTACAAATGGAGATGAGAGCTGAGACAAGTCCTGCCTCTGACTCAGATTTCTGGCAGTAGTTCCATTTGAGGTAGTCTGCACCCCAAATGTGTCTCATTTGCAAATTATTAAGAATGGCCAATTAGGGCTATTACAAGATGAATTATTTAGTGAATAGACACAAGATTAACAGACTTAGGACTTTTAACAGACTGCTTACTACACAGGATGAAACAAAACCAACTGCTAGCAGATGAAAAGGTACCTATATTCCAGTAGATGGAAAGGTACCTACATTACAGCTAGTGAAGAAATAGTATAGATTAGGAGTCAATGTAATTTAGCATGGAATTGATGATTGAGTACACATAAGGTCCTTTCAACTCAATTCCTGGGAAAATTTCTGTGGAATTTGCATCCAAACTCTGGGGAGAAATCCTTCACATTTCCAAGGTGTGTGGAGGAGATTTCTGCCTCCATGAAAGCTTGAACAGATTTTATAGTTTGTAAAGTGAATTGTCTGTCAGTCGGAAATTCCAGCTCATATCCCCACACCTTGTTCTCAAGGCCAGTTGTTTGTTGTCTGTTGGGGAAGATGAGACAGGAAAGCCTTATAAATATGATTGTCTGGCAAAAGATTTTGAGAAGATGGAAACTATAAGTGAGATTGAAATGAAAGCAAGCTTTGAGATACCTCAGTTACTGAACAACTGGAAAACAATGGTGTGGCCAGCTGAAGGTGATTCCCTTTTGATGGAACAACACCCTCTGCTTGCAGACAGGCCCAAGGGTCAGAGCAGACCCTACAGCTTGGCAGAAGGGGCCCAAAGAGGAGTTTTTAGGGTTTAAAATGTAACACAGTGTGGTGATGTAATGATTCTTATAGGCTGTATGGAAATGCTGTAGGGTTTGTATTGTGTACTAGATTGGTTAGTGAGAATCAGAATATTCAACACAGAAGAAGATTTATGGTATTGTAATGGGAACCTCGCTCTCTTACCCTTTTACTCTCTTACCCTTTTACTCTTACCCTCCCATCCTCTCCTCTCTCAGTCCTGCTCCAGCTGTGGCTGGCAGCTCCCAGCAGGGCCCTGCACCCAGGCCCTTTGCAATAACCCACATGTTCCAGCCCTGGCTGCAGAGATCTCTGGTCTCTGTCCGTCCCCACCATCCTACCCCTGACACTCCTACAATTGTGCACTGGGAGCTCCATCCCCGGTACCAGAGAGAGAGAGAACTCACCAGCCAGGCCATGCTGGGTTATCTCATCATCCATGTGATGGGATGACAATGCTGATGGACAGAACAGATCAGGTCTATTGTGAGAAGAGTCACAGGGAAGTCCTGCCACACTGGTTTCCAAGGGGCAGCTGGAGTTACTCAGCAGAAGTGACAGCTCTCAGTGGCTTTAGGCACAGGACTTGTGTTCCCATCTGGCTTTTTTGGTCCTTTTCTCAGTTATGTGGGACTGTGGTGCACACATGAGGTGTTTTGTTGGATGGCCCATCAGAAATGCCAGCTGGGTCTGTTCCAGCTGCTGTGGTTGTGTTTGGCAAAGCCTGGTGCTCTCACTTTCTCACACAGGTGTGCCCGTGTTCACAGGGGTCTCAGGATGAGGGAAGAGATGAGGATCTGACTCTGTGTTTCAGAAGGTTAATTTATTATTTTATGATATATATTATGTTAAAACTATGCTAAAAGAAGAGAAGAAAGGATTTCATCAGAAGGCTAGCAAGCAAAGGAGAAAGAATGGAATGAATAACAAAGGCTTGTGACTGACCAAGGGTCCAAGCCAGCTGACTGTGATTGGCCATTAATTAGAAACAACCACATAAGACCAATCACAGATGCACCTGTTGCATTCCACGGCAGCAGATAATCATTGTTTACATTTTGTTCCTGAGGCCTCTCAGCTTCTCAGGAGAAAATTCCTGGCAAAGGGATTTTTCAGAAAATACATCAGTGACAGTTGGGTGGTGGATGAACCATCTCACCTTCAGGCAGAGCTCCCAGCACTGCCTTTTGCAAACCACAATGGGGATGTGCAGATGCACAGTTCCACCCTGGGCACCCCAATTATGAAAGCAGAGGCAGCACAGCTGTGAGGTCAGAGCCTGCCCAGCCCTGTGGCACAGGACAGAACCCAGAGGGGCTGTGTGGCTGTCACACTGGGCACACACCACCTCCTGCTGCAGCTGGGCAGGCAGCTGAGCCCAGGGGGACAGGGAGGAGAAAACCTCACCAGAAAAACCACTGGAGTCTTCCAAAGCACTGGCAGAGGTGACTGGAGCTCAGCAGCTGCACCATGAGCTGGTATGAAGTGGCTGCTCCTGCCCAGGGTGTCAGGCTGGAGCAGCAGGAGGGATGTGATTGTCACAGGGGTTGGAGCAGCATGGGGAAGCTGACAGGTTTGCTGAAGACCAACCTGTGATGTGTGAAACCCCCTTTCTGTGGGGATGGAAGAAGAGGCTCAGGAGACAGGCATAACTTTTCTCTGGTTTCTTTTCCAAGGGATGTTGTTCAGGATTATCTGGCAGGTGCCTTTGCCTCCTCAGGGAGAAATTTTCTGAGCCCATGCCATCCTCACAGAGTGCACACTACACTGTCCTGCTGTGGGCAGGGGCAGGATGAGAATGTCTGAGGGCAGTGCAAGCACAGGGGAGAGCAGGGGGTGTCCCTAATCTGCAGCCCTGGGCTCTCACTTGGGTGATGAAGCTTGAGCACTGCTTGTGCTGTGGGCAGGCTCAGGCAGAGCAAAGCCCCCTGGCAGTGTCCTGGCACACCAGAGCCTGAGCCTCCAGCTTTGGCTGCAGAAGGACAAACTGCTGTGGAGCCAAGCACTCAGGGGAGAGCCAGGCATCTGCAGGGGAAGGGATTTCCCACCTCTGGCAAGAGACTGCAGGTGTGGGAGAGCTCTGGGACCAAAGTCAGGCAAAGCTCCTGTGCTTCCTTGTGGTTATTAATTGTTGTGGTGTTGTGGTGGTTTCCAGGATGCGGTGAGAGATAAGAATTGACTCCCAAGATCTCAGAAGGCCTACATTACATTACATTACATATTACATTACATTACATTACATTTACATTCCATTCCATTCTATTTTAAAACTACACTAAAGAAAGAGAAAGGACACATCAGAAGGCTAGCAAAGAAAGATAATAAAAAACTTGTGATTGACCAGTCCCAACACAGCTGGACTGAGATTGGTCATTAATCAAAAACAATTCACATGGAACCAATCAAAGATGTACTTGTTGGTAAACAACTTCCAAACCACATTCTAAGCAATCAGGTAATTATTGTTTATATTTTGTTTCTGAAGCTTCTCAGGAGAAAAATCCTAGCGAAGGGATTTTTCATAAAATATAACAGTAACACTTCCTTGCTGTGAAGGGTTTTGCCTGAGGCTGGGTAATTGACAGCCCCAGGACTCCCTCTCTTTCAGGCAAAAGATGCTGCAGCTGAAGAAGAGCTTTAAAGTCTTCATCTTGTTGGTCTCAGTGGCTCTTGGTGAGTTTTCATGGGCAAACAACTGACAGTGACAGCCTGGATCCCAGCTTTCCTTTGGGGCCATCATATGTGGAAGCTCCTGTGGCCCAGAGGGTGCCCTTGAGAGGCTTTGGGACCACCAGCAAGACCCCAGGCAGTCTCACAGCCATGCTCTGTCTGCTGGGCTGAGCAGCTTGCTGCAAGGTTGGGAGAGAAGGGCGTGGGTATTTCCAAAGCTGAACTGGGGATGCCCAGAAGGGAGTTACAGTGCAAGGAGAGGGGTGGGCAGGTCCTTCCCCAGCCCCTACAGCCTGGTCCTGGTGCTGGCTGAAGTGAGGGGAAACAGGGAGTGGAACTGGGGCCACAAGCACTGCAGACCACGCTGCCATGTCCCTGAAGCCTCTCAGCCAGAGGCACATCCTCTCTTCACGCTCATTCCTCACCCCTGAGCTCACCTGCTGCCGACCTTCAGGGCAGCAGGGAGCAGACAATGGGCCCCGGGGCTGGCTGCAAACCCCACCCCAGTGCCTGCTGGTGTGAATTGCAGGTGTCTTCTGTGGGACTGCCCTGTCAGAATGGTCACCATGGACAAAGGAACTCCTGGAGGTTAGTGACTGTGGTGGGACAGGCACATCCTGCAGGGGATGTTGCTGATGGTGGCTGGATAAATCTGAGGCTCTTCTGCTCCTACACAGCACCACCCAAAGAAGAAGCAGATTGTGTAGTCTGCCCTGGGAGCCATGGTGGCTCTGGCAGTAGATGTTCTAATTGAGATTTTGGTGGTTTGGCAGTAAATGTTCTAATGAAGATTTTGGTGGCTCTGGCAGTAAATGTTCTAATCAAGATTTTGGTGGCTCTGTCAGTAGATGTTCTAATCGCGATTTTGGTGGCTCTGGCAGTAGATGTTCTAATGAAGATTTTTCTCTTTCAGAAGATGCAAAGTGTATTTCCATCAGGACGGACAGCTTTCTGGTAAGAGACATTTCCTGAACTGGAACTGTGTCTGTGCAGAATGTCAGCTGACCTTGTGCTACCTGTGCTCAGTTTCCAAACACAAAAGGCTCCTGTCCTTCTTTCCTGCCTTCGCCTTTTGCTCAGCTTGGGCTGGAAAGAAGCTCAGCAAAGCAGGGAAAGCCCATGTGTCTGTTCACTGAGCTCAGGTGCTTCACAGAAGGAATGGGCTGCTTTGGCAAGATCTGCTTTTCTGTTCCTGCAGGAATTCACACACTTTGATTGAAACCCAAAAGTTGCAGAATCTGCTGGAAGAGGTCACTCAGCTGAGGGCGGAGATCAGTACTTTGAAGGTGACGCTGCCATTTTGGGGAAAGAGAACAGAAAGAGCCATTTCGGGTCTGGGCAGAGCCCCCAAGAAAGCTCTCCTTGGTATTGTTGGTGGGGTCAGAACATTGTGGCCACAGACCCTGTTCCTCAGCCCTTGTGGCTCCATCAGCAGCACAGTTTGCCAGCTCTGTGGGCATGGCATGCTCAGCTGGCACTGAGCTCTGCCTCTGTGGGTGCTGGCAGCCTGCTGAACTGTCCTCTCCTGTTTGCTCATGGCTTTCCCAGGAGCTGAGCCAGATAGCTTTGGACCCCTGTGTCAGGACAAACTGGGCCCTCAAGAGCACTGGTAAGGACATGAGCAGCCCGGTCTCCCTGCCCTGTGCCTGTCTGTGTCCTGCCACTGCCTCCACAGGGAGGGAGGGATGTCTGGGGCTGTTCTGGGGGGATGGCACAGAAATGTCAAGGTTCCTGTGTGGATGGAGGGGCTCTCTTCCTCCCCACTGCACCTGGAGAAGGAATGGCTGGCTTGTGCTTTGCTTCCTCCCTGCACTCTCAGCCCTGTGGGAGAGGCATCACCAGCCCTGTGGCTGCTGTCATTGTCCCCCAGGGCAGGGTGGTGCAGGCAGGACAGGTGGACGTGGAGCTGCCCAGGGGCACCAGAAATGCTGTCTGAGCACCAAGCCCTGCCAGTGTGCAGCTGCTTGCAGTCATTTCCTCTCCCTCCCTTACAGGAGCCACCATTGACACACAAAGAACTTCCCAGACCTATGACTGCAAAGATAGTCTTCCCTGCAGGATTTTACGCTTCTTCTGGGCTGCCAGTCCTCCTGATACTATCCTGCAGGTATCTTAGCAGAAATCACCACTTTTCTTCTCTCCTGTGAGTTTGGGAACCATTCCTGGGGCTCTCCCCTCAGCCCAGTGGTACTGATGAAGCCCACAGCACATTGGATTCCTGAAACCAAAGCTGGAGCACAGGGTTGGGCTTGCTGAGAAGCAGTGCTTCCTCTGCAGAGGGGAGTGGAGCCAGACTGAGCTCTGCTGCTGCATTCTGCCCACACTCCTTGGCCACAGCTGCTGAAAGGACTTTCTACCTGCTGACCCTGTCTCCACTGTCAACCCTAAGAAGTGATTTCCAGGGTGGGAGGAGGGATGCCCTGCAGAGTCCCTGGGCAGAGCTGTTTCTGCTGAGTAGGACGGTTTCATAACCAATATTCTCTGTTCTGCCATGATGGGACCACCTTGACAGGCAGGGAAGTTCTGCTTCTGCCCATTTCCTCACAGCTCCTTATTTCCTAGCTGAAACAGAGCCCACAGACCTGTCAGCCCCAGTGCTTCAAGCAGGGTGGCCCACCCATCACTGCTCTTGCTTTCTGTTGCAGCCAAAGGTTTTCCCAGGAAACTGCTGGGCTTTCAAAGGCCATCAGGGCCAGGTTGTCATCAAGCTGCCAGCACGAGTCTACCTGACTGCCATCACACTGCAGCACATCTCCAAAGATGCCTCTCCAAGTGGGACCATCGTCAGTGCCCCCAAAGACATTGCTGTCTTTGTAAGTCTGCTGGGCCCTTCTGCTGGGGGTCTGGCCCTAGTGGGAGCTCAGAGTGAGGTCTTGTTTTGGTGCATCCTCTGAGCTGTGTGACCTGCACTCCCCTGAGCGCTGCTGTGCTCAGTGCAACACTTCAAGGGCTCAAGGGTCTTGGGATTTCTGCTGGTCAGAGTGACCCCAAGATGTGCACAAATCCCTTTTCCCAGCCCAGCAGTCAAAAAAGGAGTCAGGATTCTTCTGTTCTCATTCTTAAGCTTGTTTATTATTTCTTACCTAGAACATCTTTTCTCTGGCCTGCTGAGGGCTGTTCAGCAGGTCAGACAGAGGCACACTGATTGCTCTCAGAGGTGGTGTTATCTTTTCATACTAAAAACTAAGTGTACATTATTTACAACTTCCCAATACCTATCACCTATGTTAGACAGTGAGTTTCTACCTTAAACCAATCCAAAAGTGCCACCATCACAGCCGAAGATGGAGGCCAAGAAGGAGAAAGGCTGGACATGCCCAGATTCCTCCATCTTGCCTCCTGAACCCCTATTCTAAAAACCCCAAAAATCTACTTTTCCCCCCATGACAAACTATTATTCTACTTAAAATCTCTTGACTTGTAATTCTTCATATAAAGGTGGTAATTTGCTCCATGGGTCAAAATCAAAGTCTCAGGTGTCCGTGGGCTCTGTGCCGAGGTCTCTGAGACCCCTGGCAGGGGCTCGAGCCATCCAGGACAGCCAGAGAGATGTCCTGAGTTCTGACCCAAGAGGTCCATTCTTTGTAAGACTCCTTCTGGCCAAACAGGTATGAGTTCTTGACCAAAATGCAAGGCAGAGACTGAGCTCTACCCTGAGAACTTACCTAACCAGCTGCCAGAGGCCTGGGAGAGGCTGACCCACGTCTGTACATTCCCTCTTTGTGGGGATGAGCCTGACTCACTCTCCTTGTGCTTTGCTCCCAAGGGAGTGGATACAGAAGAGGACACAGAAGAGGAAACTCTCCTGGGGATGTTCACCTTCAATGTGGAAAAAAACCCCACACAGACTTTCCCTCTGAAGGTATGCTCCACGCATGGGGGGCAGGAGTAAAACAGGTTTGCTTGCAAATCCATGGCTGGGAAGGTGCAAATGTTCCCTCCTTGGGCAGAGGGTCCTGGGTTGCTGCTGAAGGAGACCTGGTGGGGCTTGGAGGGCAGAGCAGCGCGTGGTTGTGGTGGCTGAAGGACAGGGTCAGGCCCATGGCAATACAGCTCCTGAGAGATCCCTGGCTGCAGGCACTGCCTTCAGAAAAGACAAATGGACATGCAGCCACACCAGCCAAACAAACAGACCTTGTGACATGGAGAAATGGGGACAAATGGTGGCAAAAGCCATCAGGCATCACTGTTGTTCTGCTGTGTGCCCTGCTGACAAGCTGGACAGTGTCACCCCAGTGCAGAATGTCCCTTCTCTCCCATGGCTCTCAGTCTGCCAGGAGGAAGGCAGGCAGAGGGCATGGCAGGGGCTCAGTAGGGTGACACACAGTTGGGGTGACACAGCAGTGGGGTGACACACAGTTGGGGTAACACACCAGAAGGGTGACACAAAGTGGGCTGACACACCAGCCCCACGCACAGGAGCACATCCCCAGCCCCTCTGTCAGCACAGAGCAAGGGACAGAGGGAATGGAGGAGCTGGGCCAGCATGCAGAGGATGCCAAGTGCCTTCCCTTGCCCTCAGCCTCCCCAGCAGCCCTAGTAGCAGCTTCAGATCTCTATTGCTCCTCCCAGCTTCTTTTGGGAGCTTGTTCCTGAGCAGAATCAGGACTGGCAGGGTGACACTGATTTCATTGTTGATTTTAACACCCCCTTTTTCCCTCTTCACAGAACATGCTGCTCCCCAGAGCTTTTTCACATGTCAAACTTCTTGTGAAGAGCAACTGGGGAAACCCGTGGTATACCTGCATTTACCGAGCGAAGGTTCACGGAAAGATGGAAAACCAGAAAGACTTAACCCAGGGCCAAGATAAATAAGAAAAGACACAAGAAGAAGAAAGGGCAGGGGGAAGAAGGGAAATGGGGGGAATTATGTGGCATCCCAATGTTGATTTTAGACTCTGCATGTGGGACTGTGTCAGGTGAGTTTTAGGTAAGATATAAGGAATTTTAGAATCATTTAATCCCCTCTATAGAAAGGGACCCAAAAGGATCATCAAGTTCAACTCTAGGTCCTGCACAGGACAGCCCCAACAACCACACCATGTGTCTGGCAGCTGGCTTGGTGCTGTAGCCAATTCACTGGGGAACCTGACCAGTACCTGACCACATTCTGGGTTCTGGGTTCTGGTTCTTCACCCAGAAGTTTCTTCACTCAGAAGGAGAAAGTTCTTTACCCAAGGTTCCTCACCTGTTTCTTCTGGACAGTTACAGGCTTTTCTGGACAGAAGAGGTGTAGGGGTCCCTTCCATGTCAGGGGTTCCATGGTTCCATGATTCTATGATTCTATGACCAGTTGTTGCCAACCCATCTCTTGTAAATCCCTGACACAGTGCTGTGTATGTCCCATCCCAGAAGCAGAGTGGAAGCCACAGGTCCAAGGTTTTAGACAATGGCAGAATGCATGGAAACCTCTCCTCCTTGCCCATGACACACTAATTTGTGCCAGAGCCTCGCACTATTGACTAAAACAAATAAAGCCATCGATCCTGGGAATTGAACTTCAACATTTGTTTGATGAGTAGAACTGTAAGCAGTAAATAAGAAAGCAAAGGATGGGGATTCCACCACCTCCATGGGCGGCTCCTTCCAAGGCCTGACCACCCTTTCCATAGGGAAATTCCTGCTGATATCCAACCTGAACCTGCCCTAGCACAGCCTGAGCCCGTTCCCTCTCCTCCTGTCCCTGTCCCTGGAGCAGAGTCTGACCCCCCGGCTGTCCCCTCCTGTCAGGAGCTGTGCAGAGCCACAAGGTCCCCCCTGGGCCTCCTTTTCTCCAGGCTGAGCCCCTTCCCAGCTCCCTCAGCTGCTCCTCATCAGACTTATGGCACATGACTTTTAGCTAGGAATTCTCTGCAAACCCCTTTGTAACAACCTCATGCTGGTTTACTGTCACTTAAGTTAATCCAGGACAGGGATTTAATTTTTTTGTTACCAAAAAAAAGCAGCATTCATTATTCAGCCAGATGCACGGGGGGATAGCTTCTCCCAAAGCTGTGCTTGCTGAGTACAGGAAAGTTTCTGTTTATATTCGGGATTTTTTATACATATTCATTGATTGTCCCAGACTAAACATACATATGATACATATGATTATACATATGATTTTTATACATATATTTTTTCATACATGCTTATTATTTCCCCAAAATCATTAACATATTTCCCCATTTCTTCTTCAGTCCTGGGGAGTGTCTCTGGTGGTCCGTGGTGGTTGTGGACCCCAATGTTCCAGGTGACCTTGCTGAGCTGGCAGGACACTGAGGCTGGTGAATTTCCAGACTCCTTACACAATGGGCATTGTGCAGTTTCCATAGGCCAGTCATTATGGAACAAGCTTTGTGTTAGCTCACCAGGTGTAGGCCATTTATCATCTGGTAACAATTTTATTTATGGCATTATCTTCATCCTTCCCGTTAATCCACAGTCTCAAATTTAAAAAGGCAGGACTTTAAAGTGAGGTAATTACATTTTTAGTACTCCCATGCAAAAAAAAAAAAAAATCAACTCAGAGAAAAAATATTTTTCCACATGACCAATTTATGGAAGTAACTCACTCTACTCAGCTGAGCTTCAAGTCTAAGTTGCTGGGGAATCCCCTGGCAGCAAAAGCTCTAACAAGTGCCACTGTCACCTCCCTTATGAATCAGACAAGTAAAGCAATCCTAAAAAGCACCACTGACTAGTAAGGAAGCCAACTTCAAACTGTGGCACAGAAAGAGCAGTGAACAGCTCAGCAGTGAACCCTGCTGCAACTAAAAGCTATTCAGGTGTTACATTTCCACAAAGAATTGCCCCTGTTCCTTCAAATAATATAGGAAAGCTATTGTTGTGAACATTAGGCTCTTTTTTTCCATTTTAATTCTTATCTGACAGTTGAATCTCAAGTTGTGCAAAACTTTGTTTAAAAAGTCCAACCTTCTATACAAAGTGGGTCTTGGAAACAAATTCTGGACTATGCAAGGGTAAATAAAATAACAAATACATATTTCACAGTTATTTACAAATTTTGTAATACCTGTCACTCATTTAAGAACCATTTACTCAAGTGTAAAGCCAAGCACTGAAATTTTACACTAAACAAACTGTCTCCAGGAAACACATTCTAAAAGTGCCTTAGTAAAGGAGATCCCTTTCCCAGAAACAATAAAAACTTGCCTGGAATAAACCACAGTTGTCACTGAAAATGCAGGAAAAACAAAATTCTCCAACATTTTTAGCGTTGGAGAATCAATGCATTACTTCCTTCTGGCCAGGATGTTGCTCTAGCCAGGATGTGCAATAGAAATAATTTCATCCACACAGCCTGGGTTGTGCAGAGAAAATCCATGACACATGAATTTTACCAGGTTTTTCACAAACTTTATACAGTCAAAACCCATTGGTTCAAGGTTTATTGGTTCCAAGTTACACAGTTTGTAGTATTTGGTTTCTTATTGGTTACAGATCTCTCTGACTGATGCTAATTAGGTCCTCCTTCTTACCTATCTCTTATCTATCTTTTCTCAGACCAGGTGTCTCTGACCATGCCAGGAGTGATGTTTGTTGTTAAGACAATTCTTGATGGTTGTTACCTTTTGTGTATCTTCTGTGCTACCCCTGGCCTGCAGAGATGTTAAGCTCATCAGGCCTGGAGTGGTGAAACATTTGAAAATAAACTTTAATTCCATTTGGGCAAAGGCAAATAAAACCCCTGACTAATGTTATACAAAATATTTTAAACTTGGTATTATTTCCAACAAGAGGGACCCACATAAGCTCCTCACTGAGCTAGAGGGTTATAGAGGCATGGATTCATGGCAAATGTGAAGCCTTTGCACAATTTCCTCCAACTTAGGTGTGATGGCTGTTGATGTAATAATACATAAAGAAACCAGTGAAATGATTTCTTCTGCCAGTGTCCTCTGTGACTGCTAGAGAAGAAAAAAGAAGCTCTTATATTCAACATCTCACCCACAATCCCCTCCCAAAATACTCTGTTAACCCTCAATCCTTCCTTCTTCAAAGCTGTGTGGCATTGTTAGCATGAAAGGATAAAGAGCTTGCTTTGGAGCTAGAGGAGGAAATAAACCACAGAGGACCCTTTTAAGGACTGAGAACGTGAAAACATGTAGAGGAATATAATTCCTGCATCCTGAGTTTCTCATCCAATGGTGGTTTAGCTGTCGAGCCCCGCACAGCTGCTCCCTCACTGCCCTGCCAGAAGGATCAGGGAGAGAATCAGAGGGGTTAAAGCTGGAAAATTAAGGGTTGGGATAAAGACAGTTTAATATGGAAAGCAAAAGTTACACATGCAAACAAAGCAAAACCAGGAATTCACTCCCTGTTTCCCATGGGCAGGCAGGTGTTCAGCCATCCCACGGAGAGCAGGGCTCCAGGACACACAGCAGTGACTTGGGAAGGCAAACAGCATCACTGCAAACATCCCTCCCCTCCTTCCTTCTGCCCCCACTCTATGTACTGAGCAGGGTGTCAGTGGCCTGGACGTGCCTTTGGTCACTTTGGTCACCTGTCCCAGCTCCCCACACACCCCCAGCCCCCTTGCCAGCCTGGCAGTGTGAAAAGCAGAAAAGGCCTTGGCTCTGTGTGAGCACTGCTCAGCAATAACAAAAACATCTCCATCATCATCCCTGCATTCAGCACAAATCCAAAATACAGCCCCATGCCAGCCACTGGGAGGGAAATTACCTCAGCCACACCCAGCACAGTCATCTTTTGCTATTTCTTCATCAGACACAACAATATGAGAGACTCCTGCTACTCAGCTGTGCCATATCTTCTTAGCTTTATGTCTTTGATAACCACTGCCTCTTTTTATTTTTACCTTTCAAAATCTTTTGTTATCCTTATTTTCTTGAGCTTTTTGATGCATAGAGTAGGAGAAAGAAAACTGATGTCAAAGGCAGCCAATGTAGTGGTAGTGACCACTTGAGGTAGTGACAATCTTGAGGTAGTGACCAATTAAGTTAATGTCCAGTGATCAGCCGTGGCTTGTAATATACAGTCCATGCAAACAAAAACCTGATAATAAATCAGGTTTCTTTCTGTCGTATGTAGTTCATTGTTCAGAAATATTTTACAAGGGATAGTAGGAAGATGAATTAAGAATATAAAGCTGGCTACTCCCTCTTCACCTCCTTTGCAGGAGGTTCTCTTCAAGGACATTTTTCATGGTTGATTCTTAACTCATTGCCATTCCCAGTAAATTCTTTTTATCTCAATTTGGGATTGGAGAATGTGAGAGGAGCAGCTTGTAGACTTTTTAATGGGAGTGCTAAATTGGGGAATATTATTCCTTGACCATGACGGGGGATGCAGCCAAGACAGCTGACGCCCACTGACCGTGGCATACCCCAGATCATGAGTAGTGTCCTGCTTGAAGTATAAACCTGGGGGAAGAAGAAGGAAGGAGGGGGACATTTGGAGTGATGGGGTTTGTCTTCCTGAACCACAGCTAATGTGGTGGAGCCTGGTTTCCTGGAGGTGGCTGAACATCTTCCTGCTGATGGGAAGGAGTGTTTCCCTCTTTATTTTGCTTTTTCTTGCATGTGTGGCTTTTTCTTTCCTCATTAATCTGCCTGTATCCCAACCCAAAAGTTTTCTAACTTTTACTTTTCCCTTCCCACCAGGGTGGGAGAGATTGAGTAACTTATCAGACTGCTGGGGTTAAACCATGACACTCACACAAAGGAACCATAGCCATGACATTTGGAATAATATTCAACTGAGGATTTCTGGGGTGTCTGGGGAAAACATATGCCCCGGCCTTGAAGGATCAGTGAAATAGGTACCGGCACCTTCCAGGAATTTTGGAGTTGTTTTGGACTTTGTTTTGGAGTTTGGCCCACTTCCTTATTGGCTTCTTACTGTAAAGACTGCCCAGACTTCCCAGATATGCTTGCTCAACAGGCTGATCCCTCCCCCTGGGAGCACGAATAAAAGGCTGCCATTGCCAGCAGTCCTGGCAGCCAGGCAGGTCAAGCTGCTTTGGCACATCTTGCTGTGGACTGCAAGATGAGCAAGTCAATGCTCTTCCTTGGTTTTCTTCTTGTTTTCCTTAGCCTGGCTCTGCCAGGCACCCAGGGAAAAATAATTCCCAGATGTGAGATGGTGAAGATCCTACGTCGGAATGGCTTTCAGGGCTTTGAGGGCACAACTGTTGCTGACTGTGAGTATAATGAGCTGCCACAGCACCTCTCTGCCTGTACCACCTTTGTCTCTCTCAATTTCTTTTTGATCTTCCAGCACTATTCTGTCCCTCCATTTCTTTGACTTCATATTTTCCTCCTCCCTTTCCTTGCTCCCTTCTATAGTTCACACAGCAAATATCCATCTAGAGCTTTGTCCTTCCAAGAATTTACCCATCCAATTCTTAAAGTTATGATATCACCACTTTAATTACTCCTCCAGCACTTCATTTATCCTGGATACTTTCATATCTTTCTTCTTATTTACCCTCAGCATTCCTTAATGTTCTCCTCTGGGATCTCTCTTCCTCCTGCAGGGATGTGCCTGGTGAAATATGAGAGTGATTATAACACAAAAGCATACAATAACAATGGTCCAAGCAGGGACTATGGCATCTTCCAGATCAACAGCAAGTACTGGTGCAATGATGGCAGGACCCCCGGCTCCAAGAATGCCTGCCACATCAGTTGCTCAAGTAAGTGGTAGGACAGAACAAAGAACCTTTATTTGTTCATTCCATGAAAGCACCTGCTGTGTCCATGACACCTGCCAACAGCTGCTGCGGGCATTTCTGTCTGTGCTTCCTCCATCCATCTTCTCAGTGTCCCACCCACCCTTCCTTCCTGATGGACTCCTTTCCATCTGCCAGTCTGTCCCTGCTCTCCCTCTGTCCTGCTTTCCTCCACACTGATGTTTTCTCCCTTCTCCACAGAACTGCAAGATGATAACATTGACGATGACATTCAGTGTGCCAAGAAGATTGCCCGGGAGGCTCATGGCCTCAGCCCCTGGTAAGGATATTTGCAGTTGACACTGGGGCAACACAGATCAAAGCCAATCCTGCTACTGACTGAGGGAGGCAGGGGGATCAATGGATGGGAAGCTGGATTTGGGGCAGTTTAGCACAGTCCTTCTCCTAAAGCTGAAAGGAGAAGATAGGAATCCTGCCTTGCAGCATCTCCCCTGAATTTCCCTCCTCTCCCAGAGCTCTCCTTTTTGTTCTCTTCCCCTTCCCCCAGCTCACTTAGATTGAGCTCCATTTATTAATTATACAAATAATTTCCATTTATTTGTAACTTTCAGAGGGATCATTGAGAGTCTTCACCCAAGACTCTCAAAGATTACCCAACTCTGTTGTCATAACCAATTCAATCATAACCTAACTCCTCAAATTACAGAATGTGTTTGTTTTTTCAGGTATGGCTGGAAAAACCATTGCCGGGGCAGAGACCTGAGTTCCTTTGTCAGGGGCTGCTAAATCACTGCACAGATATTGATTGTTTCCTCAGGACCACCAGAGATGGAGAATGACAGCGTTTGGAGAAAGGGCCAGGGAAATGCATGGGTGTGGGGAATTAAATGCAGTATATTATTGAGTGGGTACTGGCTAGTGCTAACTCCAGAGGTTTTCACACTGCTGCAACGCAAACAGAGAGCTTACAGCTCACAGCTTAATAAAAACAGGCATAGCAATAAGCCACTACAGAATTTCAGCTTTGATTTACTTGCATAATCCTGACTCAAGATTTTGTTACCCTAACAAGGTTTAGCAACATTTAGGGTTCCTCTCTCCTTTTGCTTCTTTCTCTGTTCTCCTTCACCCCTCCCTTCCTCCTCTCCTTCCCCTTTATTTTTTTGCCCATTCTTACTGGAGTGTCTGTAGTGAGGAAATACAAAAATTTCATTAACATTGTGTAAGATGTGCAGAATTATGTTGTGTTATGACCAAGACAGTCACTGATTGAGACAGACCAGGGACAGAGAGAGAAAACTATGCTGAAACACGACATTGCTCCTTAAATTTATCTGAGCATCTGCCCCTGGCTGGTATGAGGGATAGGCACTGAAACATTTGGGCATCTGGCCTGAGGGAATACAGCATTTCTTATCATTTTTTGAGGAAGTCAATCAAACACAGCCTAGAGTGCAGGCAGCATCTCTGTGAGGAAATGATGGGTTGGAAAGGCTGTTAGGGAAGGGAAATGTTTTGCTGTTTAGTTTACAAGTCCTTTTTCCAAATGAAAGCTGGATTCAGAAACAGTGCATGAATGAAAGGTGCTAACACTGAAAAAACATGTTTACTGCTTCATGTGCTTTCTGCTGCTGCTAGGGGAGCAATGACTTCTTTGGTGCTTATGAAATAAAGGGATGCTTAAACTCATGTCTTGTGTGACTGTATAAACCAATCATTAAAGGCATGTTTGTTTAGATGGCTGCATCTTAAATAAAAAAGCTCAAAGTAAGCCTTGTCTGAAGTCCTTCTTCCCCTTTTCCCCAGTGTTGGAAGTTAGAATTTTTCCTTTTTATTTTCTCTCACTCATGGAATTTTTTTCCCGTTTGTTGCCTAAGAGATGGGAGCACAGATTGTCCTGGGGTAACTCAAACTGAGACACAGATATTCAAGAGAGACAAAAGATGTGGACAAAGTGGCCAGGGAAGGGGTGAAGTTTGCAGTCTCTTAGCTGGGGGGTTTCTCTTGGGAAGAGCAAGGATGCTGGAAGATTTTGGCTGGGGGATTGGGGTGAAGCTCAGCTCTCTCCTGCTCTGTCTTGGGATCACAGTGGAGACAGGTGAGGTTTTGGTGCTGGATTTGCTGCCCAGAGGATTTGCTGCCTCTGTGCAAATTTCTTCCTGCACTGCTTCTCCTACTGTGGGTGAGACTTTGTTTGCAAGAACTGGGACCTTTCCAACACCCAGCCTCACTGGGAAGGTGACCCCAACCCCATCTCCCTTAGTGTGATATATGTTATAAAATAATTTGTGCTAAAGGAAGTGAAAACCACAGCATTTTGTGTACAAAGCCAGTGTTGGGCAACAAGCAATAAAAGGCTTGTTGCAGTAATAGGCTATGTGATAAGAATGGAGATTGCAACACCAGGAGGACTCTGTCCCCAGGGATGGATATTTCAAGGTATTTCTTTCTGTCTGACAAGACTCCAGCAGGAGGCATTTGATAGGCATTATCAGAAGTTTGTCCCAGAAAGTTTTCACCTGACAGGATTCCAGGAATTATCCACTGGTTCTGGGAAATGTAGCAGCAAGAAAGAAAAAACTATGATAATAAGCTAAAATATGCTAAAGAA